AATCGCCAACTTTTAGGTTAATAGTTGAGTGCAAACCGTTTGTGCCATCCATGTATCTTTTGTCTTTAAATCTCCTACATAATGACTAAAAAGTGGGACAATTATAAATATGTGAAAATCCATGCTTAATTTGTCATTTTGTCACTTATCACCAAAAATATTCCTTCTCTGTGTTATGTGCATGCAGTATCCCCCCAGCTGTCTTTGCTTTCATTCTTTACAGTGTTTTGGCCGATGCTTACTTACGTTATTGCCGTTTCTGTACTGGCCATGGGGGATGTATTATTGGCAGGCATATCAGTGGCAATGCCGCTGCCTTCACGCGTGGCAGCAAGCTGGGCTTACCCAGCAATTCATCATCATTATTAGCATGTTGATGCATTGGAATTGCAAAAGGCACTCTGGGAATTTTACATAAATGTGGAAGACTGTGGTTCATGCCTTTAAGGAGGTTAAAATAAAATTAAATCAGAAGCCATCACCATATGCAATGTTTAATCATGTAATATGGTGACCATTTGCTCATGTTACTACACCGTATTTCCACAGCATTTGTGTTTTCAAACGACTCAATCAACTTCTGCCAAGATACGCGGGAAAAAAAAAACTAAATGAGGAGCCTTTTCCAAAAATGTTTCCTACTTCTGCTACCAGATTCATCTAAGAGAAATAACTCTTTAAGTACCACTTGCCTACTATGGAAAACACTTTATCTGGCAGCAGTGCTGAAACATCCGATATGAATGATAGGCATTTACTGCAATAGAATCAAGGAATCCTATTTCCCCTTCAAAATCAATAGAAAAATTGCTACTTACAGTAGGTATTCTTTTTCTTTGTGAAAACAAATGACAATGCATTCTGTTTCAGAGTAGTTCAGACATTTTTCACCTAGCAAAGTGGTTTAATTCACCATTTTACCTGCTCAGGTAAAAAGGTTCCTTTGCATCTCAAAGGCTAGAGGCAATATTTTTCACAAAGAAATATACTAATTATTAATTTTTTTTTTTAAATCAGACGTTGGGAAAAGAGATAGCATTACATTTCTGGCAGTAAAAATTGATGTTACCTTATGAAAATCTATACTTAAAGATATGCATTTAATGGTGAAGTGTTAAATATTTTTAAATTTTAGGTTATTGAGAGAAAATATTTTCTATTCATGGAGATATTCATAATACAATTTTTTTTAAAAAAGCAAATTTCAACAAGGTCAGATTTTTCTCCTTGAATTCTGTATACTTCTGTTATCTACATCTTAAATCAGTAGTTTTAAAAGCCTCATAGTTGAAAATTTTCTATTGAGTAATTATTCCACAGTCACAGCAAAGTTTTACCCTATTAGTTGTTGTAATGATTTTTATTGTCTTATTGAAAAAATATGTAAAATTACTCTTATCTAATAAAAGCACATTCATGTATGTTTGTGTGTGTGCAAAAATAAGGCAAATAATGAAAGTCTCTTGAACTCTTCACATTGAAATGCAGTAATATAAGAACATGTGCAAATGCATACAGGCATATAATAAGCTAGTACTAAGAACTATTGGAGATTTATTGTAGCTCAACTAAGGAGCCAATATTTGATATCTTAATTTTCTTTTCTAAATTTTTTGAATCTTAAGAAGGTATCTATAAAGTGGGAAGTGACCTGTTGCCATCGAGTCGATGCTGACTCATAGTGGGGACCCTATATGACAGAGTAGAACTGCCCCAAAGGGTTTCCAAGGAGTGGCTGGTAGATTCAAACTGCTGACCTTTTGGTTAGCAGCTGAGCTTTTTACCACTCTGCCACCAAGGCTCCCAAGTGGGAAGTACACAGACTTAATATTTCAACAGTGACTTGCGGAGAACCAGAAATAGGGCTTATAAAAAGCCAAGTATTATTATTTTCTTTTAGCATTATCTGAAGTCAATGGATAAATATATTATTACTGTTGTATTATTGCTTAGGACTGACTGAACTTCTTCATTATACTCCTGAGTAACATGAACTGAATAACGAACAATGGAAACAATAGCAATAGCATCTGATTACTAATGGGCAGATTGGTTCTGGAACATAACATTTTAAATATACATGAGGCAAAAAATAACTTTGAATTATTAGTATTTCAGGGAAATTTTCACTGTCAAAAGGAATGGGAGGAATGCATACATTTTAATAATTTTGGAAAGCTGCTATAGGATATTATAATTTCTTTGTGGTTAGCTGTCCTATAAAAAGAGAAAAAAAACAAAAACAAAAACAAGATGTAGTTTAGAGTAGTGGGCATTCACATTCAGACAATTTGTGTATTGTTATAAATGTGTTTAATTACAACTGCTTCAAAGGGATCCCAGATTTTCAAAAGTTTTATTTTAAGTTTGAAGACTAGACAAGGTCATACTGATTTTACAACAACCTACGTGATTTAAGTATATATATACAAAGAAAAAAAAAACAACATTGGAATATTACACAGCTTGAAAGATTGCAAAGATTATTTGTGTCTTAGTTATTTTTGTACTTACTGACACATCAGATGCCAGCATTGAGTATTATATTTCATATTTTGTTGACTAGCAAAGATACAATCGTTAGTACCCCAAGTCTTCAATATTCACACTAATCCTTATGAAGTCATTCAGAAAGAGAAAGTCAATCTTAAAATAAGAATTAGTGACTCTGATAAATGTTTTTAATAGGACATAAATAAAACGGAGATGTTTGGATTTAATTTCTTAAATTATAAAATTAGCATATTATAGTGATTCAGTATGGTGAAGACTGGGTGATTCTTCTGTGTATTCTGCTTGTGAGATTTTACTTGGTTTAGTGTGAATTTAAATAGAATAAATTTACTCAGTTTGGTGTCATTGATACAAGTGACATAAAAGCTACTGACTACTTGACAATATTTCCACATGTGTGAGTCCCTTTGCTGTCATCAATTCTGGGTATCTTAGGAGAAAGTAGACGTCCCATTGGACCTGCCATGCTGTTGAACAGCGTATCTAGCAAAGAAAATGCACAAACAAGAGAAAGCCATTTTAATGTATTTCTAAAAGTTAACAAATATAATTTTAAGCAACTTCCCTGGAAAATAATCTTTTTTTAAAAAGCTGTCAATAAAGAATTCAAAATAGCATATGAAGCCATGTATAATTTTGTCAAAGTAAGTCATCACAAAGCATTATCATAATTTTTAAACATTACTATTCAGGCTGATCTGCAAAGGAGAGTGACTAGAACTTTGATGGGACAGAAATGTGATTTTAAACTTTGAAAGAAATTAGGACCATTGGCTAGACATTAAATGTTTGTATATTTTGGGACCTAAGTAACTGTAACATGAATTTAAAACTAGCTGATTAAAAGCATTCTAAATTCGTAATTTTAGTTATCTTAAAAAGGCAATATTGAAGACATAGCAATTCTGCTTTTGAAAGGTGCTGAAAACTGATTACCATTTTAGATGCTTCAAACCAACAATTTCATAATAAGAGAATCAAGTAGAAAGTGTATGGGCATGGGACAAACCAGTCCCCTTAAAATCAACCAATTTTACTTTTACAAAAAATGCCTTTATGATTGATTTTCTCTTTAAATTCTTCACAATGACTGAAGACCACTCCATATATACATCATTAAGAAACGCTGTTAACATGTGAACAGACAAGACAGTAACAGTCTAGGGGCTTTTGTGATGCAGCACACACACAAAAAAATTTAGCAGTGTTGCACAGGACCTCAACATTTCACACACATACCACACTTTCTTTTCCAGGGCCCTTAATTTAAAACTCTGATAATTCTGTGTCTAAGCCTTATGAAATTAATACTTGTGAGATGTATAAATTAGGTGTTGAGGACTTTTATGGAGGCAGTGTGAGCTTTAATTTGAGAGACATGTCAATGAAACCTCCATTATCAATAACAAATTGTTACGATAATTGCTTATTTTCTCAGGACCTTTGAAGCAAAATAAATAGAAATCAATTTTCATCTTGAAAATATTTTACTACTTTGTCATTAGTAAATACTTTTCTGCTCACACAATGTGCTTTCCTGGGAAACCACCACCAGTTTCAAATCTCAATAAATTTTAGTTTCACAAGAAATGCAGAGGTGAACACAGTAACTATGAGTACGTTTGGCCAAGTTACGCAGCACTATGGTAGTATTTGCTTGTCTAAAAAAATTAGAACGAATTCGTGGTTCTATTATTTTAGAAGAAAGAGAAGGTCATGTAAAAACCATCAAAACAAAGGATGGAATTTAGTTTTAAAGAGACAGAATATATATTTTTGGTTGCTTATTTTGCCACATGATAGGATGTGATTCTCTATAAAGAAAGCATTTGGAAATAATACAGGTACAGCTTGCTTCAAATATAAAATTGCAGATAGATTCAAGCTACTGATGAGAAATACAGATCAATCCACAAATATTCAACTATGTTCCTATACATAAATAAACATGGCTCTTCTTTTAGGCAAAAAATAGAAAGAAATTCAACTGAAAAAAAAAAAAAAACTTATTCAGGCAGTATAAAATATAAAGCATACAGAGTGGAACAAAAATAAAAATCAATAATCTTTGATTAGAAATAATGAAACTAAAAGGAGGATTATAATATCAGATAGTACTGCATATTACAGATTCTTCTTCAGAAGTCTGTCATAAACACTGACAGTGTTTGGTAGGCACAGGGAAACAATTAGAGTAATGTAGAGTCATTAAAGAAGAAAAAAACACTTATTGCTAACATTGCAGTATTCCTTTTATAAGAATTGGTCGAGTACTGATTGTGAAAGCTCTATCAACTCTTGTTATTTAATGAGATTTCTCTTCACCCTTGCCATAAAAAGAATGTTACTTTCTTTCCCCAATATATTTCAACCAGTATGAATCACTCAGAAAACAATGAGAAAAGTAATTCACAGTTAATGTGATGTTACTAAAGAAATATAAACAACAAAAAATCAAATCGAAGCATTGAAAAGACAGGTTTAGACATCCTTAAAGAAGTGGCCTACCATAAACTGAGCACTGTTTCATGAAAAAACTCCATTCATTTTCCTACAGATTTTGCACAGTTCATTACATGGAGATACTTTTGGGGAAATAGAAGGGTTTTGGGATGCAAGGCCTCTTCACTCCTCCTCTGTGCATCCCAGCAGCTCTGCCCGAAGTGTGATCCTCCCATACCAGGACCAAGGAAGGATTCTTATGTGCCGTGCATAGATGGGAGGGTTGATGACGTTTTTCCTGTGGGTGTCATTGTCAAAGTTGCCCTGGAAAACCTAATAAAGAAAAACAAAGAACATCTATCAGACAGCCTTCTTTTTCGTTGGTATTCTTTTTATTATTTCTCGTTTGGAGAATTTTTCCCAAACCTGAGATTTGAAAACTGTTTGCTTTCATCTTCTTCAAAATATATTGTGACTTTTTAAAAATAATCTTTTAAAAACTAAATCGTAAATCAATATCTAAAGAGTTAAGACAAGAATCGATTGTCTAAGGCAAGAATATTATAGACCTATCATTTTTATCTGTTGATAGTTCAATGTGTTTTTTTTTTTCCTTTTAGTTCAACCAATATTTATTTATTTATTTTTTGCTTCTGTCACAGCCTGTTGTTGGCCAGGCAGCTTGCTGACGGTTCTCTCTTCCAAGGAGTCCATCAGAGATCTAGGCTGCTTGCAAATC